CATACACACAACGACTCAGGATACAGGTGTCCTACATACATGAATACAAAACATACATATATAAACATATAAACACTCGGAATACACTTGCAAATACGTCTCATGCCACAAGCACGGTACCTCTTCTTGTTCGGGCAGGTACTTCTGGATGTTCGCCATCATCTGTTGTGTTACACATTGATCGTCCATCTTCAGAAAGGCCTTACGCAGTGTCGCAAAGTCCACTTTGAGGCGACCCAACATGATGGCTACAGAGACACATAGGTGTTGCATGGATACGAAAGTGATAGTGCATATGTATGATGGCTACAGAGACACATAGGTGTTGTATGGATACGAAAGTGTTAGTGCATATGTATGATGGCTACATAGACATATAGGTGTTGCATGGATACGAAGGTGTTAGTGCATATGTATGATGGCTACAGAGACACATAGGTGTTGTATCGATACGATAGTGTTAGTGCATATGCATGATGGCTACAAGCACAACACGGGTAGAGATGCAGGTGTGTGCATGGCATGTATATGATTGGCTTTAGTTATTACACCGTATCCACAGGCAACAGGTGGTGCGTAGAGTATAAACAGTCGCACATGCACCTGAGAGTCTGTGTGTTTGGTGAGAGACTGCACTGCCGTGGTGGTACGTGATATGGGGCTAGCAGTGAGTAATATGTACTGTGTGTGTTTGTTGAGTATTTGCAATAGGCGTTAGTAGAGTATGCGTAGTCTAGTATAAACCCCAGCCGCTACACACACACACACACACACACGCATAGCCCTGCAGCTGGTGCCACGCACTATGTGATATGCGGCTTTGTACTGTACAAAGTATACTCCAGGCTGCCTTAGCAACCATTTATCAATGGTCCAATCATATGCATCACCGCATCTGGCAGAAAATACAGAGCAGACTATCGGTAAACCTTAAACCCTATAGCCCTGTTTTAATGTGGTGCATTTCCAAATCCGAAAACCTAAACCCTACCTCTGCGGTGTGCGTATGTCTGGTGTAACAGCCCACAATTTTAGGGTTTCAGGGTCTAAAGGGTTTAGGGTTTTAATCTGCAACGAACATTGACAGTGGAACACTCATACTCAACCAAACTTTCATGGGGAGTGGTTTTGGTCAAATAGTCCGTATAAACGATACCATTCACAATACATACCGGTACAAGTTCGGGTGCACTTATGGACACTCAGCGGTCCGAAACACAGACCAGAGGTGCAGGGACCGCTACATACACTGTCGACATCATATAGGACTCACAACATCAATTACACAGACATACAAACAGTGGTAATAGAAACCAGGATGTTACATAAGCAAAGGGTATAGAACTATTCAAAACAGATGACCAAAAATACTCTCAGACCCAACATGACAAATTCGGGTCGGGGCGTCGCACCAAATTTCTCTTTTTTAGGATTTTAAGTTTAGGATTTAGGTGTAGAAGCCACACCACACTTCCGATACTTAACCACTGACTCAATACGTAGCTATGTGCAGTAAGCCGAAGATATGACTGGCCTATTTATGAAAGTGTACATGTACATACTCACCTTCATTACACTTCACAGGTACATGTAATGCACATCCTTATAACACTTCACAGGTACATGTACATGCACACCCTCATAACACATCACAGGTACATGTATATGCACACCTTCATAACACTTCACAGGTACATGTACATGCACACCTTCCTAACACTTCACAGGTACATGTACATGCACACCTTCATAGCACTTTACAGGTACATGTACATGCACACCGTCATAACACTTCACAGGTACATGTACATAAACACCCTCATAAAACTTCACAGGTACATGTATATGCACACCTTCATAACACTTCACAGGCACATGTACATACACACCTTCACAACACTTCACAGGTATATATACATACACACCCTCATAACACTTCATAGGTACATATACATGCAAACCCTCATAACACTTCACAAGTACATGTACATTTACACCTTCATAACACTTCACAGGCACATGTACATCCACACCCTCATAACACTTCACAGCTACGTGTATATGCACACCTTCATAACAATCCACAGGTACATGTACATCCACACCCTCATAACACTTCACAGCTACATGTACATGCACACCTTCCTAACACTTTACAGGTACATGTACATGCACACCTTCATAACACTTCACAGGTACATGTACATACACACCTT